AGGGGGGGGAGGGAGGGAGGGAGGGAAGTATGTTGTCCGCAGGGTTAACTTGGGCTGGGGATGGAGTCGGGCGATTGGGTGGGAGGGGTGGGCTCAGAGAGAACTCTAGAACTAGGGAGGCGTTGGGGGTTGACGGAACAAGGATAGGGGTGGTTGCGAAAGTAGGGCGTCGCTGGATGTTGGGTAAGGGGTTGGGAGTAGCGAAGGAGTGTGGGGAGGTGGGGTAGGCAGATGAGGGGTCAGGTGGTATGCTGGTGTTTTCGTTTAGCCTACTTCGTGCTATCTCTGGTGACAATCGAGTCTCCAACGCTTGTGGTGATGCGATGACGAGTGTCGAAAGCTTCGCCCCTTGTCTCGTCCTCGTTTTGTCTGCTAGTTGACTCCTGTATTTGCCTGGTATAGGGTGATGATTAGCCATAACAAACTTACCTTTAACTTTTCCGGAGGGGAGTTGTTCACACTTTGCAATTCGACTTGATGACGCGCTTGGACGTGTGTTGCTCCTGCAATCCCCCTTTGCACAGAGCTTTCCTTGTTGTTGATGTCCTCGCCTCCCTTTTCCTTTTTCAGTAAGTGTGATCGACTCTCTTCTCCTAACTTGCGCCTTGCTCCTGTTTTATCCCCAACATAGTACTCTTCTTCCTCTTCCCCGTTCTTCCTGATACAGTCTTTTCTCTTCTCGTCTTTCTTCTTGTGTTTCTCTTCTCCTGTTCGTATCTGGGGTGTCAAGCCCGTAGCCGTGGCGTCGTGTGTCTACTGCTTCTCGCCCCTTCTCTCCCTCATTTTGTGTCGCTCAATTACGCCGTCTCTCTTTTTCTGAATTTGAGCGATCTTCTATCCTGTTCGTGTTATGATAACTGTGGAGTATTATTCTCGTTGTATTCACTTTTCTTCCCCTTCCTTCTCTTTTCCTTAACTGACTCTTCCCTTCTCATCCTCTCTTCCTCTCAATTGTCACTCATGTTCTTGTCTAGCACTTGGTGGCCACACCCGGAGGCGTCGCTCAGTCTGGCGCTGAAGTTTCCGCCCCTTTCATCCTATCGTTCTCTTCGAAAATTCGTATCAAGGAATCGCGTGCGGCGCTGGGCGTTCCCGGCGCTTGGAAAAGTTACCGCGGTGCCGGCTCGTGAATTAGCGCTGGTGCGTTTGTGCTAACCAGTCGACGCTAGCGCTCTGGATCTCTCCAGATTCCTTTGCCAATCTCCCTTGTATTCCCACCCGCCAGGCTGCTATTTTATTTTGCGTCTCTGTTCTCCAGTTCCTGACTGTTGGTGCCCTCTGTAGTTGGCGCCCATTCAAAAATTCCTCCTCTGGCACTTTTGAATTTCGATACTTGGCGCCATCCAGCATTCTGGCGCCCAGACTCAGACGTTCGATTTTCAGTTCAGCCCTGAGGCAAATTGCACTTCTGGCCTCAGGACTGAACTTGAGTCCGGTACTTAAGACCGGACTCAAGCCCAGTACGGGACTCAGTTTTCAGCCTCAGTGTTTGTGCTTCAGTGTGACTTCCTGCGACATTGTGTTCAGAATCCAAGATTGCGACTTTGGCACTTTGCCACTTTGTGTCTGCGTCCATTGAGTCGTGTCGAGTCTGCGTCGAGTTGAGCGAGCGTGTGTGTGTGCTCTTACTCTCCCTCTCTCTTCCAGTCCCGCTGCCCTGCCTCTGCCTCGTCAGACTAGTATCGGAGCGGCAAACGGTCCTCCCTCCCTCCCTGCTCCGGCGCCGCCACGTCATCGATATCGTCGTCATTGTCACCGTCTTCACCTTTATACCTTTATTCACTTCTCAACTGACGTATAATACCTTTATTCACCGCTCCACTGGATTTACACCGTACAAGCTCCATTGGGGTACAAACCCTAAACAGCCTCTCGATGGCATCATCCATAAGGGTAAGGCCAAACTGACTCCTCGCAGTGCAGAATTTGACAATAGTTACAAACGTGATGTAGAGAAGGCAAGAACTAACGTGTTCAAGGCAGAAAAGAGGATGATTGAACAGGCCAATAAACACAGCTTGCCTTCCCCCCCTCATCCAGGGGACTGGGTCTGGGTGAAAAGATCCGAGCTCTTTGATGAACAGGACATTTCAAGAAAGTTGTTGCCCATTTAGTATGGTCAATGGCAGGTTCTTGGTACAGTCGGGGCTGATCCTTTTGGTCCTTCCTATGTATTGGTTGTACCCCCACAAATCAGAACCTACCATGTCTTTCTTTCATTCAAGTTGTTGCTCTTCACGCCCTCGGATGTATTCCCAAACAGGCCCCCTCAATCCGGTCCTCTTATAACTAGCAAGGGATACTAGGAGGTCGAGAGTATTGAGGACAACTGGGGCACGAGTCCCGATTGTGAGTACTTGGTGAAGTTCCAGTTCCAACCATACACTGAAGATCTATGGTTTACAAGAAAGGATCCTCTCAAAACAGCCAAGTCAGTTGTTTTGTTTCATGAGGCTAAACTGAAAGGGCAGTGGCCCAAACGTTCACCTCATGGACACTCCTAAACAAAAAGAGCTTCTCCTCCGCCTCCTCATCCTCCTCTTCTTCTTCTTCTTGTTCCTCCTCTCGTCTTCTTATCCTTTCCTCCTCCACTCCCCTTGGGTTTTTTTTTTTTTTTTTGGAGCGAAGTCGACCTTGCCCGTCTACACTCAAACCCCTCTACCTCCTCACCCTCCTATTCTTCTTTCCCCCCACAACTTCTGCTCCTCCTACTCTTCGTCTTCTTTCTCCTCTCGTCTTTTTATTTTTTTCCCGAAGATAGTTGACCTTGCCCCGCCCGTCGACACCCCCTCCCCCTTCCTCAACACCTTCCCCTGCCTGTCGACAGCCCCCCCCCTCCTTCGCTTCTTCTTTTCACCCTCTTTGTCTTCGTTTTCCTTCTCGTCTCTTCATTCCCTTCCTCTCCTCTTATTTCCCTTCTTCCGTCTCTTGTTTCCCTTCGTCCTCCTCTGGTAGCCATAGCCCCCCCCCCCAACTGAATTAAAGTTTTAGGTTCACAGTTCTCTTCGCGGATTCTGACTGCTCTGGGCGAGCACAGTCGAACACTGGTTTCCAAAAAAAAAAGGACCGGTTTTGGGCCCAACCGAAATTCTAGCTTTAGCACCTGGACCAATCTGGCCCGGTTAAATCTGGGCCAGCAGAACTGGCCGGTTGTCAGCCCAGCCCTGCATCTGGGGCGACAAGGTCCAATTTGCGTAGATTACGAGAGAGATGCGTATCTCTTAATCTCCGCAAATGTGCACTTGAGGCTGCACATTTCTCACATTAACTATTGTTTTCACATGAGTAGAATGCACAGTCATTATAGGTGTATTTGTGTGCAGCTTTGAAACAAGATACAGCCATAATGACTGTGTTCTCTCTAGGTGAAGATGCTCACTCACATCCCCTCACATAGTTTCTTCCCGCATATATCTTACCTTAAAAATGCTTCATCATAAGTCGCCCACCAACCGTCACAGGTTCCCTCATCCTGCCTTGTTGCACCTTCAGGAGTACACGTTGATATGTTAAAGCTTGAACCACGAACGCACTGCCATTTGAAATTTTCATTCTCTCGATAGCCACAACTCAAGCGAAGACATGGCATGGGTGGGTCGGCTCTACACATCTGTAATATAGCTAGACAATTGCAAAAGAGCAGAGCAGAGAGAAACAGAGATGTGTTATGATCCCTTTTTTTTTTTTTTGATACAAAACTCAATTTTGAGACAACGGAATGCTTGTTGAACTGAAGAGCATGATGCATGGCGCGCTCGTGCAACACAAAGAGCGAATAGAAAAAGGAGGGTTAGAAGAAGGGTGTAATGAACCCGGTCTCGTCATCCAATCATGTCCCAGATACAATGCTTGCTGAACTCATGAGCATGACGCATGGGGCACTCGTGCAACACAAAGAGCGAATAGAAAAAGGAGGGTTAGAAGAAGGGTGTAATGAACCCGGTCTCGTCATCCAATCATGTCCCAGATAACAATGTCATGCAATGTCTTGAGATAATCAATCCAATAAGTCCATCAGTTCGAAGTCGTTGTTGAAGTACATGTTTCCTCATTACCACGTGTGAAATCAGACTTCACTTCAAACTTAATTGCAACATGCATACATGGCCGAACTGATGGCAAACCAACTTCTTCAACCCAGAATCAACAACAAACTTGCAGTGGCACATTGCGCCGTCACGGAAAACTCAGAGATATGTCTTCCACTCAAAACTTAGTTCAAGTTAACTGCACGACTTGCGGCTATGGCCGTCGAACACTGTCTCCACCACCAGCCTCACTGCCCCTCATGCACGCATGTCGAGGATATACCCTGAATGTCCACTTTACACACACACACACTGTACAATTTGTCAACTCCAGCAGCTTGTCGGCTATGGTTGCCATCGTCTTCCTCCTTCCAGCTATGGCCGCCGTCGACCTCCTCACTGCCCACTTCAGCTCCGGGCACCTGCAGACCTCCACACACAGGTCACCAAGGCAGCACTTCCACATGGCTCACAAGCAAATCAATGAATGACTGGCCGCTGCCTCTTTATTTATAGTAACCCGCAGGTGGCCTGGCCCTGCCCCAAACCGCGTGGGCCTGGGGCTCTAAACGTGTGGGCTTGGCCTCTCACCACGTGGGCCCGGCTCTGGAAATTTCCAAACCGTGTGGGCCTTCTGGCCCAAGCCACATGGGCTGCTGGGCCCCAAACCGCATGGTCCAGAACCTTCCCCAAACCGCGTGGGCCCATCCCTTCCAACCACGTGCAGCCCCTACTCTGGTACTTGCTGACTGAACAGGCCTACAGGGACCTACAGCCTTCTCGAACCCACAGATCACTAACCTGCGGACTTAGGCCCACGTCGACTCAGATACAGACTTCCATAACAGTTCCTTCTAAGAGTACCGGTAACAGAATTAACTACTAATCTGAAGACCTATGGATTGAATCCAACCTACCTGACCTACAGACTAACCTACGACTTGGGACAGGTCACGGGTTCAAATCTCAGGTCTAGGGATCGACTCGCGGGGTGTGCAATGTCGGGTCAACTAGGTGAAATCGTTTCGCTCCCGCCATCCTAAATTTGAGGTCCTCCGAGAACACTCTTACTCAAGATAGGACTTTTAGTTTACCCTTTCTTGCTCTCTCATACGCGTGTACTAAGTCGGGAGCGGTTTCTAAAAGCTTTGTTCTAGTAAACCACCTGCCGGTTTTGGGTATGCGAACCTGACTTCGTATTGCTTCTGGGGACGACCTCGACCTCCTGTTCTGAACACGTCCTCTTCCACTATGCGGTCTATGTCGTAGGCACCATCCATGTCCAGTGGAGTCATTGATCTCCGTGAAGGGAACCTGTCAGTGGTGGTGCACGATAGTAACTTGGACGCATGGAAGACTGGGTACGTGTGGAGATGTGTTGGGATCTCTATGGTCTATGATGGTCCGTCCTCTCCTCCTTTAACTTCTAGGACGGGCCATGGTCCTCTGTACGCAGGTAAGAGCTTTTGCGAGATGTTGTCCTCAGGTGCAAACTCTTTAGACTTGACACAGACTAAGTCGCCTACCCGAAACTATGAAGGTCGACGGTGTTTGTTAGCTTGCTCGATTATGCGGTGGGCCTTCCTTAAAATGTCGATCACTCTAGCGACTTCCTGCTCGTGCTGCAGTGCAAACTCTCGGGTATCGGGCGGTAGTCTTTGGATCTGATCCTGATTCAATCCTTCAAATGGTCTCCTTGGCCTAAAGGACTTATGCAGCTCGTTGGGAGTCCTTCATGTGCCTTGATGAACATTGTTGTTATAGGCACTTGCTACCTTGGGAAGCATCTCATCCCATTTCACCTGATCTGGTCTGATGTACATTTTGAGTAGTTGCAGCAAGATCGTATTCATTTGTTTTGTCTGGATGGCGGTCAGACAACATCAACAACTTAGATTTGTATACTTTCATAAGATCCTGCCAATTCTGGCTGGTGAACTGTGTATCTCTAGCACTAACTATGGACAATGGTAGACCGTGCTCGCTTACCCAGAAATTGAAAAACTTTTCTATATCTAAATTGGTAAGTGCCTCTAAAGGCAAGGGTACGAAAACTGCATACTTACTAAATTGATCTACTATGACCATAACTTGACTTTTGTCGTGCCTACTCCTGACCCAGTATCCATAAAAAAAATGGAAATTGACTCTTTGGTACCTGATGGGATAGGCAAAGGTCTGAGAAGGGCAAGAGGGGCTCTAGTTGCTAACTTGTTACGCTGACAGACTTTACAACTGCGTACATACTTTATTGAGTCTATTCAGTCCGCTTTCATGTCGGGCCACGTGTAGGACATCATCAGGTTAGCTAGAGTCTTTTGCCTGTCGAAGCGCCCTTCTGTATTGTGGCATTCCCCTAGGATCCGACTACGGATCTCTTCACTATTGGGGATGCAGAGTCTGTCAATGACGTTGGTCTTCTCAAACAGTAGCCCGTTTGTGGTTCGATAGTGCGGCTCGCTATTTGGGGCCTCCTCGACTCTTTTCAACACCTCACTATAAATCGGATCCTGTGCGTATGCATCTCTCACTTTCTGCTGCGATGTGCCCTATGTCTAGTGCACTATCGCGCCGAAGTAATCAGCTCTCCTACTTAGAGCATCGACTACTTCCCTTTAACGGGCTTCAACTCAAAGTCGAACTGGTCTATCTCAGCAGCCCATCTGGTCAATCAGACTGCACTCAAAACTTGCTTGCAACATGCATACATGAGTGAACCGCTGGCAAACCAACTTCTTTGACTCATAATTGGCGACGAGCTTGCCCTTAAACTCAGTTCAAGGCAATTGTACAACTTGCGGCTATGGCCGCCGAACACTGTCCCCACCACCAGCCTAACTCTCCCTGACGCACGCATGTACGAGGATCTACCCTGAATGTCCATGCTACACATACACACACACATTGTACACTCTGTCTGTGACAGCAGCTGGGCGGATATGGCCGTCGTCGTCTTCCTCCTCCTAGCTATGGTCGTCGTCGTCTTCTTCCTCCTAGCTATGGCCATCGCCGTCTTCTTCCTCCTAGCTATGGCCATCTTCGTCTTCCTCCTGGCCAGCTATGGTCGTCGTCTTCCTCACTGCCCTCTCGCAGAGCCACCATCTTTGCTTGCGTGATCAATTCCTGCTTCTCCATCTTCTCCTTTCTTTCCCTCAAAAGGGCAGCAACTTTCTCTTCTTGTTCTCTACTATAGGGAGTGATGCTCACTCCAGTCCTGGTGGTCACCATGGGGAAAGTTCACAATTAGAGACGATCCCGCTCCTCAACACGTAGACCTACCAGTCTGAACTCGGGTCTAGAACAACTTTAAGTCTACTGCACGCGTCTACTCTAAGGTTGTCACTACAAGACTCACTGGCTGATCAGGAGCATTTAAGGAGATCCCCCATAACTCCTCAAAAATTCTTTAACGTCGGAGACAGGACGACACGATCAGTCGAGTCCTCTTAAGACTTCAACAGTTGGACGCACAGCCCACAGCTTGGAGTTCGGACCTACCACGCCACACTGAGCAGCCTGCCGGGTAGTACCAGTCCTTGGGGGTCTTGTCCCTGGGACGTATGAGTCGTCAAACGCAGCCTTAAGCCTTACTAAGTCCCGTGTGGGTTTGGGCTTACAGCTCTACGATCACATCCACAGAGTCCTATCCACCTGGATAGAAGTGACAGGGAGATATGACTGACTCTAACAGACCTGACGTCAACAAGTACCAAGGTGTAGGTGCACATCCACAAGGTATGGACTAGGTCAGGGCTTAGAGAGATTATATCGCTCGTCTTCTCACTCTAGCTTGGTCAACGCTCCGATCAACGGTCATGGTCAACACGTCGGTCAACGGTCTTGGTCAACGCTCCGGTCAACGGTCTTGGTCAACACGTCGACCAACGGTCTTGGTCAATGCACCGGTCAACGATCTTGGTCAATGTTCCGGTCCGCTCCGTCAACATCTGTCAACGACCTTGGGCAACCTCCGGTCAACGCTGGTCAACCTCCTTGGTCAACCCTACTATGGTGGTCAACCTTCTTCTTCGTCGCCCTCTTCTTCTTCCTGCGCCTTGGCTATGGTTGCTTCACCTCCCTCTTCGTCAACTTCCTTCTTTCTCTCTGCGTCACTTCTTCCTCTTCTCTTGTAGATCGTCTTCTTCTCCGAGCTCGGCAGCTATGGCTGCCGGCCGCTGTGGCCTCCTCTCTCTCTCTCACTTTGCTTCTCCTCGGATATGGCAGCTTTCTCCTTCCGTTCTTGCTGCTGCTCTGTCGTGGACAATTGGAACCAGCTCTGATACCAGTGAAATCAGACTGCAGCTCAAACTTGCTTGCAACACGCATACATGGCCGAACTGATGGCAAACCAACTTCTTCAACCCATAATCAATATCAAACTTGCACTGGCACATTGCGCCATCACGGAAAACTCAGCGATATGTCTTCCACTCAAAACTTAGTTCAAGTTAACTGTACAACTTGTTGCTATGGCCGTCGAACACGGTCTCCACCACCAGCCTCACTGCCCCTGATGCACGCATGTTGAGGATCTACCCTCAATGTCCACTCTACACACACACACACTGTACACTCTGTCGACTCCAGCAGCTTGGTGGCTATGGCCGCCGTCGTCTTCCTCCTTCCATCGATGGCCGCCGCCGTGTTCCTCACTGCCCACTTCAGCTCCGGGCACCTGCAGACCTCCACGCACAAGTCACCAAGGCAGCACTTCCGCATGGCTCACAGGCGAATCAATGAACGACTAGCCGCTGCCTCTTTATTTATGGTAGCCCGCAGGTGGCCTGGCCCTGCCCCAAGCCGCGTGTGCGTGGGCCTCTAAACGCGTGGGCCTGGCCTCTCACCGCATGGGCCCGGGTCTGGAAGTTTCCAAACCTCGCGGGCCTTCTGGCCCAAACCGCATGGGCTCCTGGGCCCCAAACTGCGTGGTCCAGAACCGTCCCCAAACCGCGTGGGCCCTTCCCTTCCAAGCACGTGCAACCCCTACCCTGGTACTTGCTGACTGAACAGGCCTACAGGGACCTACAGCCTTTTAGAACCCACAGATCACTAACCTGCGAACTTAGGCCCACGTCGACTCAGATAGAGACTTCCAAAACTGTAGCTTCTAAGACTACCGGTAACAAACTTAACTACTAATATGAAGACCTACGGATCGAATCCAACCTATCCGACCTACAGACTAATTTATCACTTGGGACAGGTCACATGTTCAAATCTCACTCAGCACACGCGGTCAATGTATAGGGTTAGGCACAGGTCCAGGGATCGAATCTTAGGGTGTGCAATCTTGGGTCAATCCGGTGAAACCGTTTCACGTGTATGTCTTGAAATCCACAGTATCCGAAAAAGAGAGGAGGGGAGAAGTGAAACACGGCAATTAAGGGCCTTTTCTCCTTCTGGCTCCCCGCCTCTGCCACGTCAGCAATCAACATTCAATGTGCCACGCCAGCACTCCATACTCAATGTGCCGTGTCAGCGATTTGTACTTAATGTGCCACATCAGCACTCCGTACTCTATGTGCCACGTCAGCAAATTGTACTCAGTGTGCCACGTCAGCAATTTGTACTCAATGTGCCACATCAACAATTTGTACTCAATGCACCACGTCAACAATCTGTGTAACACATGGACGATGTAGAAGCAGCCCCTCGCACATAAACGATCCTCCAACTGTGAGCAGAATCGCCAGCACCTTCACATCTAAAGAAACCAGGTACGTACGCACGACAACTCACATCACCCACACTCTCTCTCTCCCTCTCCTCATTCCCTCGCCGTCATCTATGGCCGCGGTTATGGCCGCCCTCTCCCTCTTTGTATACTATAATGCCTGGCTAGCGCCCATCAAGCAGACTAACGCCAACACCTCCTCTCAAGTCTCACGTGCAACGTCCTAGCCGCAAGCAACTCGCAAGATTGAATGTCCAAGCAGTGGCAAGTTCAACATAATATAGTGTTGACTCGCCTGTCCTCTGTCGGCATCGGTCCATGCGAGGGCCTGGATCTTCCGATTGTCCCATTTTTTGTCTGGACTCCTTGAGGACCGAATCTTCTGGAACCTGCAGACCACTGTTAGATCATTCTATAATGACGACTATGAATTCTTGTGTGTTGACTTTGACTTCTCGGATCTGGGCTTACGAGCTGATTGTTGACTTTTCGGTCAACTATTGGCCTGGGCCATTTTTGAGGCATGTTTGACCCCTCTATTTCCAAGCCTGCCCGTTTGTGCTTGTCTACGGGCGCGACGAGAGCCCAACAACTCAATTTGGCACACAAGTTACAACATTCCATCCAACCGGATTTCGAGTTTCGTCGCATAAATTTCATTTCAGGCTTGGATTCTTAAACTTCGCTCGTATGCGACGACAATATCAAGAGCAGTAGGTAAGAGTTCTCTTTTACTAAACCCGTAGGCTTCAGACACCGGTTGATTGGAAAACTTTACATTGTAGTGCTTTTGAGGTCTTCCTATAGCTCCACTAGAGAAACACCCGTGTTCAATAACCCGCCATCCATTGAAGGAGGAATCGAAGATGGTCTATTCTAAAATTCATGTCCTTCAGCATGCGAGGAAGACTAGGTAGGTCTTTAGACGAGGGGGAATATAAATTCAGTAGGATAGTCGTTCGACATTCCCTATTACTTTAAGCACTTCCCAGGGTCCATAGTAGACGGGTAGCAATTTCGGTGAGACGTTTTCCTCAAGTGAGAATTCGTTAGATTTTACCCAAACCATCTCCTTCATTGAATTGTGCAGGCCTTTTATGTTTGTTTGCCTGTTCAATCATTTTTTGTTGGGCTTTCTTTATATTCTCTTTTGCGTTTCAAATGTCTTGCTCATAGAGAACTGCAAACTCGTGCATTTCTGGGGCAGTTTCAGAATTTGGTCCCTTGTTAGGGAGTCAATCCATCTCAGAGGTCGTCAATTTTTATGCAGTGCATTCAATGTGCGTCTTGTACGAGTGTGTACACTATTATTGTATGCACTTGCAGTCTTGGGTAGGTTCTCATCCCAATCAACCGGATCAGGTCGCACATACATGCACAGGACCTGTTGGCACAACTTGTTCATTTGTTTAGTTTGACCATTGGTCTCAGGATGTCGTCTTGACTACATAGTTAGTCTTGTGCCATAAGCTTGTATCAGTTTTTGCCAATGCTCGCCTATACATCACACATCTCTATCAGACACAATGGTTTAAGGAAATTCATATTTAGAAACACATCGTATCTGAAATTTTTGAATTACAAGCTCGGTTCTTGCTTCAGCGGGAAAAGGAACAAAAATAATGTACTTAGAAAATCGGTCCACGATTACCATTACCTGACTGTTTCCATTTCGACTCTTCGTCAGTTTCATAAAGTCGATACTGAAAGACTTACCTGGGCTTTCAGGAATAGTTATTGGTCCCGGTTGTCCCAATGGACTCTCGTAGGATGGCTTGTTACATTGGCACACAAGGCAAGTTCTCACATACGTTAGTGTGTCATTCTTCATTCCTTGCCAAACGGAATGTTCTCGGACATTGGCAAAAGGCGTTTTAAGCCCAAAGTGTCCCTCAGTATCATGGCACTCGCCAAGAGATAGAGTCTTTGTGGGTTTATTATGTTGAACACATATTCTTTGTTCATTACCATCAATAAAGAAAAGTATTCCATATGTCATTCTCTAGTCAGGAAAACGTTTTAGATTGGATTTCAAATTATCTATGATAGGTTGCGAAATTTGGTCAGTGTTATATCCTTTGTGAATCTTATCCTTGACATCGTTTCCAATGTCTAGGTATGTTACAATTGTTCTAAAGAAGTCACTTCTGCGTGAGAGAGCGCGAGCAACCATATTGTACTTTCCTTTTATCCTTTTAAGCTCAAAGTCATATGTGTAAATGATAGTTGACCACCTAGCAAGCTTATATGTGACACAAGGTTGTGTCTTAAGCCACTTCAGAGTTTTGTGATCTAAGTAAACTTTAAGGTTCCTACCTAGGAGGTAATGCTTCCACGTCATAAGAACTTCCACCAGTGCATACAGTTTTCTCTTGTAGGTTGAGTTAGCAACTTTATCTTAAGGGAAGACATAAACTCAATTGGCCGATAATCCTTCCCATTATTTTGCTGCAGCACAACCCTAATCCCATACTAACTTGCGTTAGTGGTCACAACAAAAGGTAAGGATGGGTCTGCAATTTTCAAAACAAGATAGTGAGTAAGCGCACTTTTCAACTTTCTGAACGCGGACTCACAGTCTTTATCCCAACAAATGAATTGATCGCAACGAATCCGGGGCCCAACGCCAGTCCCACCCCAGGCAGGGCCAATTCAACAGTTTCATGTGTGCATCAACTGAGCAGCCTACCAATGTGCAAAATGAGAAGGAATCTTCCGCAAGAACATCGTAAGATACACCGCGACAGACAAATACATTAAAAAGAAATCCCGGTGTGCGTATGGACTAAGGAGTCGTCAGATGCAAATGTCGTCCCGGGCGTGCGGGAGAGAGAGAGAGAGAGAGAGAGAGAGAGAGAGAGAGAGAGAGAGAGAGAGATTTTCAACCATAGGATGAGCAAAATGGGAATGAATCTGTCGCTAGAACATAGAAATATGCACTACCACATTTTCGGTCTTTGGCAGTGTAGATTTCCATGTCGTGGCAGTGGATACTTCAATGTTATAGAGGAAGATTCAACCCAATTTTGTTAATTTCTGGAAGTGTGGCAATGTCGATCTTTGTGTGTGTGTGTAGGATGAGCAAAATCGGATTGAACCTTTAACTTGAACATGGAAATATACCGGTTTCATGGTACTTCCATCGATAGGATGAGCAAAATCAAATGAATCTACCGCTTGAACATGGTTGATTTGATTGATTGAAAAACAAAAACAAAAAGGGAGCACGGGGCGATCTCTTTTTTTTTTTTTTTTCTCAACCCATCAATCAATCAATCAATGTCCACACCCCTCCCTCACCCCTTTTAACCCTTCCGCTCGTTCTCCCGCTTCTCCTCCAGCGCCTCCTCCGCCCCTTCCTGTTCCCCTCGCGCTCCTCCCGCTCCTAACCCCCTCCCCGTTTCCCCTACTGCTCCTCCTCCCACTCCTCCTCGCACTCCTCCTCCCATTCCACCTCTGCCCCTTCCCGTTTCCCCTCCCACTCATTCTTCCGCTCCTTCTCCCACTCCTCCCACTCCTCCTCCTTCCGCTCCTCCTCCGCCAAACAATGTGACAAAGATCCCGCCATAGCCCTGCTCCCGCTCCTCCCTCTTTACCTCCCTTTCCTTCTCCTAGTCCCCTTCTTGCTGCTCCTCCCGCTCCTACTGCTCCTCGCACTCCTGCTCCTCCTCCTCCTCCCGTTGCTTCTCCTACTCTTCCCCTCATTCCTCCTTTCCCTCCTCTCGCTCCTCTTCCCGAATCATAGCCTCTCTCCCCCTCCTTTCCCGCTCATCCGCAAAACAACGTGGCAAAGATCCCACCATAGCCCCGTTCACGCTCCTTCTCCTGCTCCTCCTCCCTCTCCTCCTCCCTCTCCTTCTCCCGCTCCCCCTCCTGCTGCTCCTCATCATCCTGCTCCTCCTGCTTTTTCCCCCATTCCTCCTCTGACTCCTCCCGCTCCTCCTCGCGGTCCTTCCGCTTCACCTCCTCCACCTATACCTCCTCTCGCTCCTCTGCCTCCC